TTTTTTCCCGCTTTTTTTTGGTTGCAGAACTCAGCGACATTTAGGTAACTAGATTATTAACTATTTCCTCCCCTTATCTTTCTCTCATCAGAGTTTCACTTTATTGATTTTATTTTTTTTTAAAAGGTGAGGTATGAGTGCGTACCAAAATCACAAGTCCGAGACTCAGTTTTACTGCGAATCTGTGAGCACCGCACGCAGACAATCAGGTGTCCTTCATGCAAACCGAAGATCAACATCGTATCAGCAAACTATGGCCGTTTAACTGGTGGCCACATCTGTGGAGGACGAGTACGAACCACGAACTGCGGAGCTGCGGGATCGCTCGACAAAGTGAAAAGATCCTGCCAGGGGAAACGCAGCTGCCGTTTGACAGCATCAAATGGGATCTATGGGGATCCTTGTGTTGGTACATATAAGTATCTTGAGGTAAGAGTAACTCAATTTTATTTTTAAACTCTCCTTTTTTCCCTCTGTACCTCGATATCGAGTTCAGCAGGACCTAAACTACCTCATTTTTTTCCACCAAGCTGGAAACTACTGACATTTTAAAGTGCAGGCTCAGCCAAAACAGAGTCAAAACATCTGCGCATGGGCAAACATTGAAACTTGAAGAGGCAGCGTCGCGCATTGTAATCACTTTCAATAAATGATAATAAATTACGTCAAGACGCACAATATTTTCACTGTGTTTTAAAAAGTAAAGTGAGAAAATAGCCTTAGGTAGAGCAATTTTGACTTGAATGTCGACAACAATCGAAGTTAAATTTGTTTTGTTTCACGTCGCTGTGTGATTGGTGCAGAAAACTCACGCGATCATTTCACTTTCTCTCAACCAGATGGAAACTTCATGGCAATCGCTACATGGTCACACGCATTTTCCCGCGCTTTTTTTTTTTTTTTTTTTTTTTTTCATCATGAGTTCTTATTGGTCCTATGATTGTTTTCTTTATTCTAATTTACCTTTGTGATTTTTTCATTTATCAACAGGTCAGATACAGATGTGAGGAGTGATAGCACATGGTCAGCGGGCGTCAGAGGTTGAAAGTTCATGAAACAGAAATGATTCAATGTAGTACATAGAGCTTAGTAAAAGAGATCATTAAAGTCCTCTCGACGCTAATAAATGTCCGTGGTCACCTTGTATCTGCTTCAATTCTTGCACGGCCTAAAACGGGAGTGATTTTCAAAAGATCGACAAAGCGATAGCGTAAATTGGAAAGAAAGATATCTGCCAACCTGGCGATGTGAGGGGCCAGCATTAACCCTCTCTCCCCTCTCACTCACTTCAAAAACTTGCACTACCTCTCGATCAGACTTTTTCGGTTTTAGGGAACCAAAAGTTGTAGCTCAGCCTGGGAAAATAAGCTGTGCGCACTGACTTCTAAAAAACCCAAAGCACTGGTAACACGTTCGTTGTCCATCAGACGCAGTCAAGGTCCTAAATGGACCGAATGCCCCTTAGCAGCCAGAAATATTTACAGAATTTGCGCGGAAGGTTCTTTCAAACTTCTTAAGAGTATCAGATGTTAGATTAGAAATGTCAAGAAGTTCCAAAAATTACGACAGCTCTTTGAGGGACGAATTTTCCGAGCTTGTGCTTGCCGAAAAAGTTATTTTTCTTTTCTCTTTTTACACTAAATAAACAGTTTTTTACCAAGTGATTTTACAGAATGCACAAGCTCGGAAAATTCGTCCGCAAAAATACCAAGATAATATGTGGCACCGCTTGACATTTGTAGCTAAATATCTGATAAAAAGTTGAAGAATGTTTCCGAGCAAACTCTCACTGCCGGGCATATATAGACCCGCGTAGCATGCAACTAAAACGCGTACGCCAAAACGAACTTCAAATCTGTGAGGAAAATTTACTGTTTCAGTTTTGTTTAGTGATTCATCAAACTATTCTTCCCCGCTGACGATTTCAATTGTTTTTGACGCTTTCTAATAAGGCCTCGTTAAGCTTTTTGCGCTTACCTGCTAAACAATTTACGCAATTGCAGATGATTCACACGTGTTTGAATGCGTTTGACTTATGACCCAATTTCCCGAGGGAGAACGAACAAACATCGTTTACAACTGTTGCATAGCAACTGTCCAAGTAGTTCATTCTAACGCCGGTCTTATTTACGGATTCCCACAGAGGCAATACGCTACAAAAAGCTACTACACGTAACTTTTACGACGACTGCATTTTCGTGGAAACAGGGTAGTTCGTGGGAGAAAGAAATAAGATTTTGTGGTCCAACAGAAACATGCGTGGAATTTTGACGAATATGATTGATATTTGTGGTGAAAGCACAACGTAAAGTTTTTAAGCTGTCTACAATTTGATTAGTTGGGCAGTAATGGGTTCATTCGACTACAGGTAAAGAGTAGCTTCTGGTAGCTTAAAGCTATGGGTTGCGGAGCTTCCAAAGTAACGCCACAAACTGAAGAATTCGAAGAAGATAAACCACTTCGCGCCAACGGACGAAACCGCAACAAACATGACTCTTTATCAAATGGGCATGCACACTTGCCTAATGGCAAGGCAACTGCCGCAGGATTAGCAAATACTGAGAAAAATGGGGATGTAAATCACAACTCTCTAGTAAAAAAAGATACTGATTATACAAATGGTGACGTTTTGAACAAACCCGCTCAAGAACCACAACATTCTCAGAACGGTAAGTAGATCACAGTAACAAATTGAAGCGCCCTATTAAAATACTGGAGCTAGAGTTAAGCTCGTAATCCTTCAGTCTTAATTTTTTACTCAGGCAAATGACAACAGAAAGCGCTTTATCTACGCAACTATGCAAGTTACCATTTGTTGATTTATCACAATTCGTGGTGAAAAATACCTTGAGGGTTTGATTTAATTAAACATTACGCTTTACACCCGCTGCGCGATCGATCCAACGTAACAACTTTCATGTTTGTGTATCTAAAATTCATCACCTGTGAAATCAAATTTTACACATTTCCATTACATTTGTTTGAATATTTCGTTGAGTGCAAACATACTTATGTACTTAGCCGGTGAATTCTTTATGATAAGAACTATTTGCCCAGCAATGAACTGTCATTTGGGATAATATGTGTATGTTGAGACAATAATTTTTCTTCGGTTGGATAACATTGCTTAATAAGCTCATATTACCCGCTCTTAGACTGTGATGAACATTCGTTAAGTCCTTAACATTTCGACGAAAATTTTTCCTTGAACACGTCTTACGAACACGGATGTAATCACGTTTTATATTTACTCTTAACTAAATTTCGCTGGCTTTTAATCGAAATTTTCCGCTCTCCTACGTACTCACAGTAACATTCGCAATAATTTATTCAGTTTAATTAAAAAAGATGAGCAATTCGAAACGATGACGAGGAAAAAACATGGTGATATATAGAATAAGACAGATGGTAAGTTTTGAGCTCGGTAAAGAAATATAGAAAGATGTTTTTTGGCTCGTCACGAGCGTGGGACAAAGAAAAAAAATTGAGGTTCGATTCTTCATGGGGCTCAAAATTTTTTTTTCTTTTTCCCACGCCTGTGACAAGACGAAAAAAAAAACAGTGATATTTCATACAAAGTTAACAACCTGCTATTATTTCTTTCACTAGAGGAGAACCCCAGTGACAACACACAGCCTCAAGTTTCCAAAGCAGTGGCGTTTGATATTGTGCTTGGAAAAAATGATTCTGATAAAGTTTCGACTGCACTGATGCCAAACCGACCCCCTCGTCGTTTACAGGTGGGTAGTTCCATGTGGCAATTATATTTTGCTGTTTATGCTTTACTTGATAAATATCTTCTGAGTTAAAAAGTAAAAAAAAATATAAACTCTTCCTTCAACAGAAAATTGAAAGCGCACCAGTTTTGACAAGAGAAGCATTAGCACAAAGACAAGCTGCAGCAGAATTAAACAGGCAAAAGGTAATACACTTTCCAATACAAACTAGTATTTTAATCCTCTAACTAGAGGGGAGAATTAACGATCAAATCGTGGAAACTGCTAGACATTTCCTTATAAATTAGTTACAAGCATTTGGTTTTAGATTAAGACAACAACTTCTACCTGATAAGTTATAGCATTCTCATTACCCATTTGCTGGATTATATATAGATATCTTAGGAAGAAGTTACTTGTTAATCACCTCTGGGAGTCAAAAGGGTCAATATTACTTAGTGACTGCTCTATTGATTCTTAAAATTTTACTGTGAAAATCTAATTTACAGTAGGGAGGAGAGGGAAAGGATACATCCTGTGCAACCTTTACTGGCATGTGCCTCCCTACCCCACCCCCACACACACACACACACACACACACACCAAGGGTTTCTTTTTTTTCCGTTAGGTTATTCTGGTTAGAAAACGATTGTAAACAATCACATATAATTTTCAAAGGACTACAAGAGAGTGCAGATATATTTGTCTTTTCAAGTCCAAATGTGTAGAGTAATTGAACTGTGGCAATATTTTTGTTTAGATATTTTGTTTGAAACTACTTATTTTACAGTCTTGATTGTAAATGCAGCAGAGAAAACTTGCTTTTACAAGAGAAATTTAAGAATGCAAAATATCTATTTGGAGAAATGTCCCTCCCCTCCCTCAATCTAAAGAAATGGGCCCCAGGCATGCTCTTGCCTGAAATGGGATCAGAAGACACACCTGTGCTAAAAATTAGTTGAGAGAAATTATTAAGTTTTTTTTTTTTTACGTAATTTTACAATAGGAGTTGCAGAAGAAAGTCAAAGTTATGTCTAGAAGACGAACAGAACTTCTCATGGCAAGAGAAATGGACAAAGCCCAACAACAGAAGGCAGAGGTAACATGATCAAATGTGATTAACCCTTTATGCCCTGAGTGTGATAAACATCTAGTTTCTCCCAACAGTATTGCACCTGAATCAAACCTTAAGGCCATGAGAAAAAAGGAAATGATTGCAAACTTAAGAAGCTCTTGATTGTCTGACAAATTCTCCTTGTAAGTAACATAGGAAATGTGTGGAGAACAGTATGAAGAATATGCATACTGATGTTAGGGTGTAAAGGATCAACTCATGAAACATTTATGTCTACAAGTAAAAACTTCTTCAAGTTTTTGGAACCACAACTTTAAAATTGTTGTTTTTTTTATGGTGATGACCCTACAGTTAGAGGAAAAACTGACAATGTCAGAGAGAAATAGAGAAAAACACCAAGCTGAAATCAAAGCCAAACAGAGAAGAAGAGAAGAAAAGGCAAAAAGAGTACGCAATAAAGCTAAGCAGATCCAAGAAGGCGATGATGTAGTTGGCCTTGCTGTGGATCATGATGAAACATATAATGCAGATGAAGAAGGTAAAAGTACTGGGCCCAGTTGTATAAAAGGCAGATAACGCTATCCAATGGATAAGTGATGGCAAAACATCGAGTGTTATCCACTGGATAAAGTTTTATCTAATGCATAGGGTTATCCAACCTTCGAAAAACTGGGGCCTGTAATATAGCAAATTTTAAATGAGCATAAAAGTAATCACAATCGCCAATCACAAGAAAGCAAGTCAGTGAGAGGTTTGCAAGGAGTCTGGCACTGATAATTAGTGCCACAAAAAAAGAAAACTGAGTGGAGAAATGTGCTTCTTGCAGCACTAATAATGAGGCATTATAATGAGGCATTATATATAAAACAGCTAGGCACCAATGTTTTTCTGCAATTTTTTTTGTTATGATTGAACACTAAATTAAATTTTTTTTTTAAATAGATGAGTCCTGGGATGTTGACACCTCTCACCAAAACAGCAGAAGTAGTAATCTTGATGGCAAAAACAGTTTGCCAGTGTTAGATAACAGTAAAGAAGAATCTGATGAAATACAGAACAATGAAAATACAACAAAGGAACAGGAGAATCTCAGAGATGTACATGACTTCTTTGATTCCTGACACCAACAACAAGATGTACAATTAATTTTTCAATCAAATCAACTTCAGAGCACCTCCACAGATTCTACTAAATAAATGAATTTGAACAGGTAGATAGAAAAAATTCCAAATCTAAAAAATTCCTGCAAGTATAACAGCCTATGAACTTTGCGCCTCAATTTCCAGCATTTTCTTCTGTGTGATTTTTCCTTCCTCAGGGAAGAAGTGTTGACCCAGTTCTCAAAGAGCAGCTGCTTAGCAAACCTCTTGCCTTTTAAGGACCACAGCTTTTGCATATTTTGAAATTATATTTTCAAGAGTAACCTTCAATTTCAATTTTTTACAGTCTATTTATTACCAGAATCATGAAAGGGTGTGCTTGGTTTGGTTCATTTGTAATGAAGAATTATTTCCATCAATAGGAAAATATCATTTAATCATCAAATCTCATCCAGTCTATTTTCTAAAAATTTAAATAGGCAATATTATTTTTGCTATTAAAACTTTCATTATGAACTGATTACTATCTGAAAACTTGTAACAGATTATTAGATTCTGAACTAATTTAAAATATTTATTGAAAATCTTAAATTTAAGTATGAACAAAGATATTTTTTAAAGCATTTTTCATTTTGGGAGACTTATGAAGGTATGTAAATGATGGAAAATAAATTATGAGTCTTCCTCTTGGTATTTAATTTTTCCTCTTGTTCCTGCAATTTTTCATCGTGAGGAGCCGTCTTGTGTCAACCAACCACACTAATGATGTTGATGCCTTATCTTGATAAGAGAGATTTTGTGGCCATGCAATACAACTTACTGGTATCAATACACATCATAATATGGCATTCTACAAGATTTCTCCAAAATTTTCAAGGTGTACTCATCCATTCCTGAAGCCAGCAGGAAAAATTATTTCCCTGACACCATCTTGACAGTAATTGGCTAAAGAAAAGAGAGAACAAGCAAATTTTATTTATGATAGAGTGGAAATAAATACTTCTTACCAACAAAATTTGAGGTCCACACTGTGAGTCTTTTCCACTTGGGTTTATGGCTTAAGTGCCAAGAGTTTTGGCCATAAATTGGAGTGGAAAAACAGCCCTGCCAAGAGTCACCTTCTTATAGACTCCTAATTAGCAACCAAAGAGATGCCACCCCAATGAAACTGGGAGGAAAACTGAAGAATGGGAAAAGAGGAACGGAGGCTAGACATGGGTGCAGTTTGACTGACTAGCAACTGCAATAATTCAATGGCATTTTCTGGCCAAGGCGTTATGTGCACAGATGCACAAAGATGACTAATTAACCAATTCCAACCCTCCTCTTTTCTTCCAATGGTGCCTGTTATGGGGGCTTGTGACTGGTTAACCAACAGTTAAAAGAAAAAATTCCTAGCCCTTGCATGAATTTTCAGCTGTACCTTTGCCCCCTTAAGAGGATTGCAGGAAGTAAACAATGAACACCTCTGACTACCATAGCCCACAAGATCAAGCTCTACTTTTTTTTTAGTTAACATTTTGAACTGATAAATTTTATGAAAATGAAAAAAAACAACAAACAGATCCTTACTTTGCTGCAATAAGGACACTCCCCAAACACCATGTTAAAACTCTGTCTGCTTGAAGGCAGGGCTCTCAACCACTGAAAGTAGAAGAAAAGCAAATTGCCACCCTCTTGTTGTTTTTAGGAGGGTGTTCGGCTCCTATTGATGCTTTCTAAATACTTAACCCTTTAACTCTCATGAGTGACCAAGACAGAATTTCTCCTTACAGTATAAAAACACTATCAACCATTATGTGATGAGAATAAAGAAAAATATCAATTTGGGGATAATTAGCTGATCCAATACTAAATTCCCTAAGCCAACATTGTAAGAATTGTATTGTTGACAGTAAGGAGAATTACAAATTTAATGTGGGAGTCAAATGGTTAATAAAAAATTACACTAATCTACACCTTTGACTCTTTCAATCCCAAAATCTGAATATCAATTCTCTGCACAGACTGTCGCTCATTTCTTATAATTCTATCTGGGAGAAATTGGTGTTCAATCACTCACTACTTCCTAATTTATGGTTTCTTTCTTATTATCCCAGATCTGTTTCTAAAGTACTTGTAATGTGGAGAATAGTTTCTCACTGGTCACTCCTAGGGGTGCAGGGATCAAAGCACAAGGCATGGAGGTAAAATGATAATCAGCTATCCTGGCATAAACTTGCACATGGGCCATTGTAAATGACAATACTTTATTCAAGAGAAGGAAAATGAAAAATTGTAAAAGTATCTCTCAAAAGGGGATATTCTAGAGGTTAACCCTATACAAAAGATTCCCCGAATAAAAAGACCAAAAACATTATATACAGATAATTAAAAACTGTCTACCATCATTTCAATCAATATTCATGTAAATCTTTAGTCTGTTACAAAATAAAGTCAATGATCCTGCGTGTACAATATCTTTAGGCAAATTATTCCACATATTAACAATCCATACAAAAAAAGAAAATTTATAGCAATTTATAATAATTATTATACCTTGTGCAACTAATACAGAGATGGTTTAAGAAGACTTGAGTATCAGGTATCCATACTAGTAAATTCACATGTGATTTATCACTCTGCTATCTTAGAAAAAAAATTTGTCAATGAAAAACAAAGAAGACAGAGATCCTACTTACTTCATAAAGACACAAGCTGTGAAAAGGTTGTCCACATCTAGAATCATCACAAGCTTTGTCTGGTATCAGATCATTAAGGCGATAGGCATAGCAAATTCCACACTCCATGCTGAAATCCTGCCATACACGCACACACAAAGGAGATGCATGAAGATTTGGATAAATCACTATCCAGTGGATAAGTGTCAACAGAGTGATCTGTGCTATCCAATGGATAGATATTTATCCATTGGATAATGGTATCCATCCTACAAACAACTGAGGACTGATTTGCTGTGCTAATTGCTATTGATTGAACATTCAATTAGATTATGGGCTCAAAATTCAGTTCTATTGCATGAAAGTTTAAGAGGCAAAGACTGAATTGACTATCACATATAGAAATACAGAGTGAATAACCTAATTGTTTAAGTATAAAACAACTATTCATTAAAGTATTAACTGTAAGAGTCACAGATGGTCAAGTTTAAAAGAGTGACCCGCCAGCAAAATGCAATGGCCATGAGCCAACCAAAGTTTCTTCTTATTGCATGTATGTTTATTAAGGTATATCACTCTGCTATTGATAAAAAATCAGAAAATAATGAAAAAATATTGAATGTCTGAAATTATGTGATACCTCTTTCTTTGTTGTAGAAGGTGAGGGAAATTTCTGTCCCAATAAATTTTCCAGATTTGTCAAAACTGTTAACTGTGGATTCCTAAAAGATTCATAAAAAGTGTTTCACCCTCACAACTTGAACTTTCTTATCTCCAAAAGAGTTAGAAAACCAATTTATATGCAGTAGCTATTGGAATTTTCCATCTTGCAAAATGTTTTTTTCTCGTACAGCTACCTTGAATTGCAATTCCTGCAAAACTAGCTTCTTATTCTTACCAGGTGTGGATGTTTGCACTCAAATGTTCTCGTAAAGGAACAATCACTGCAAATAATAATTGTAATATAAAGAAATATATCAATTAGTGGATTATTAGTTGATCTAATACAAATTCTCCAAATTATCATGGTAAGAATTGTATGACAGACAGTAAGGAGAATTAGTTAATGATAAAGAGAGTGAAAAGTTAACCCTTTAACTCCCATGAGTGACCAAGACAGAATTTCTCCTAACAATATCAATACAGTATCAACCAGATAGGTAATGAGAATAAAGAAAATATCAATTTGGGGATAATTAGTTGAACCATTACTAAATTCTCTGAACTAACATTATTAAGAATTGTATGGTTGACAGTAAAGAGAAATACAAATTTGATCTGGGAGTTAAGGTTAATGTTAAATAAAAATGTGAGTCGCTGTCAACATCAACAACTTCTTCTGCCACTACCCTTGCCTGTGCAGTCACAGGGTATGACAGAGTGTTCATTCTCTTATTTTAAAAAACATCTTATTGATAAAGGCAAAAAAAAAAGATAGAAACTACTAAGTTCAAACCATTCACTGTACAAAAATTTTGTATCAGTAGGAAACAGAGCAGTTTAACCAGTCTAAAGAAAAACTAAATAAAAGTTCAAAAAAGAAAAGAAAAGTGCAAACTGATTACCATTGTCAGCACCCATAAATCTGCACTCTGGCAAAAGCCTTGCATTGACTGGGTTCAGATCTATCTGAACAGAAGCATTGTTACCAAGAGCGATTCTTCTGCTTGTACATGATCTTGAGGGTTGCTCAGGCTCAAGAACCCACGTGTTACTGTCTATTTCATCTAGCATGTCCCAGAAATCCTCAAATTGAGAGAGAGTCTAATGGATTGGCAAAACAACAACAGAACAATTCATCAAACCTACTGACATTACTTAAACTTAAACTTAAGTTTAAATATGGACATCACTCAGAACTAACCTGTTGGAACTGATGATACAGCTGCTGAAGAGGTTGACCCTTAAAAAAGACAGATTGAAGAGAGACAGATATAAACCCATCCAATGAGAAGACAGTTAATAAAAGTCATTTCAAGTGAGTGTCCCATATGGAGGGAGAAACAATCTCTCTCTCACTCCTTTTTCTTTGCTCCTTGAAATATTTCACATATCATTTGTCAGTTAACATTTGGATATATACATTTACTGTTCACTGTTACCTGAGAAGACCATGTGAAAGAAAAGGGTTTTCCAGGTAATTCTGCAGAACAAGTAGGTGCTACCTGTGGATGCTTGAGATAAAAAAAAGAAGTTTTTAAGAATGGACAAACTTCTTTCTATTTGGAAGAAGTGATAACAATACTAAATCAGTATATCATAAAAACTGCAGCATTAGACAAGGATTTCCAGCCCTGAATAAAAAGCCATAACAACAAACATGAAAAAATACCATAACTCACAATAATTTTTCACAAGTGTTTGATATCGCCAATCAGCTGCTGACATGTCATTTGCCTTTTGCACCACTCTGTCATGTGAATGAAAGCCTTCACAATTCTCAATCCAAGGTTGTTTATTAAAATTTTCTCAGATTATGCCTGCTAAGAGACTGAAAAATTCACACCCCTTACAGACAGTGACGTTCAAAATTTCCCTAGCAGTGGAAGGAAACCAAAATACAAAAAGAAAAACCAAAAGTTATGTACTCAGTGGCTTTGACAATGACATATCTTGCGGCTGAGAGTGAAAATAAAAAATTGGAAGATTTGTCACAGAATGATTTTGCTTGTGTACCTAAAAATATTCTTTCACTATCTGAAAGTCACTATCTGAGAATTTTGCAAATTGAAAGTTACGCCACTGTTTGTTTTTGTAACGATTCAACACATTTTTTTCATCTTGAACCTTATTGCCAATGCACCTAATGACTTTTTTTCTGGGATTGTGGATCCTATTCTTTTCATTCATCAATAGAGTCAACTTTTCTTGTTAGTAAGGGCCTATTGTGTTTGTAATAGACAAAGAAGTAAATGGTTGCTTGTAGACTGATATGGAATTTCTCTTCTTGTGTTCAAATCTCTATTTTACTTGTTCACTGCGCTTACTTGTGAGCCATCAAGTTAAAACTCCTTGAGAAATTCCATATTCATGTGCGCCCATGTATTATTATCTATTTATCATATCTCATGATAATAATATTCAATTTTTTTTCCTGAACACTAGATGAACAGGGAGGCACAGAGGAGGGCATAACCATGGCAACTCTATCAGCATAAATATACAAGCATGTAAAGGTGCTTGAAACTAAATGATGGTTTATTGTTTTGAAGCAAATTTGGTTTTTATCACCTAACTTGGCTGCAGTGAAGAATTTCTAAAGCTGCCATTTCAAGTGATAGCCACTCTCTGTGGTCACTGTGGCTAATTTAAAATATTAACTCAGTTTATATTGAAGAAATTTAAAATGGTTTCCATGTTTACATAGCCTAATGTAAACATGCGGGAGGTTGGGAGAACACGAGATAAGCGTAGAAAACCACGACGTGAAGCGGAGTGGTTTCCAGCTTATCGAGTGTTCTCCCAACCTCCCAAGTGTTTACATCAGGCTATGTAAACATGGAAACCATTTTACATTTCTTTTATAAAATAACTAATGAAAGAGGAACGAAAACCATGTTTACATGCACTCATGTAAAATGGTTTTCTGGCCAATCAGAGGGCGCGTACTATTTGAATTATTTTATAAAACCAGATGATCTTGTTATACCCACCAAAGTAGCACCACATCTTCTTTAAAACCTTACCCCCTTTATTTGTTTATAGTTTATACATTGTCAGTCAATGAATTAATGAAAATCCCATTGTTTTGTATGTGATTTTTGATTGATGGAAACTTAATATGTAGGGAAATATTGTTTCAGTTTAGTCGTCTGGTTGGTTTTGATTATCTGGGTGGTTCCAGTTTCCAAATATGCACCCTAGCATAGGGAGGATGAAAATAAAGATACTCTCAGATATGTCTGGACCTGGTTGATCAAAAAATGGATAAATTTATCCACTAGGTAGGGAGTAAACAGTGCTATCCATCTTTTGAACCACTGATTTGACGCCATGGATAAAATTCATCTGCTAGATAGTAAGACAAGAAGTTAACCATGCTTTTAACAACTGGGGTCTGTTGGCTAAATGATGATACCTGAGGTGAGAGACGAACAGTGATCACATGCTCTCTTTCTTTGATATCTCTGTGAAGAAAAGGGAAAAGGAAAATACGTGTTGAGAGGAAATAATTAAATTAAAGAATTTTGGTTCTGTTTGAATTTAAAAATGGCCAGGGCTGATGAAAATTTTGATGTTTGAATCATTTTATTTACCTTGAAGCAAGTTTTAACACTTGAAAAGATGAATCCACATAGGCCAACCTTTGATAAAGTGGAAAATATTAAGAATATCAAGTAAAGTTGGTAAGTTAGGACTAACACTAGTTTTTCAAGCTTGAGTTATGTTCAACTTTTTTTTGACTACTGTTCAGTAACCCCCCATATGATACAGCACATTCTCCATATAACATGCTTCAATATGTTTTACAACACTTTGCAGGGGACTCTGGCCTGAGTGCATTGGTTTACAATTTTTGAGAGGCAATTTAGCAGGTGCCCCCAATTTTTGGAACAAGGCCAGATTACAACACCAAGAGCTAAGTTCTCTACCCTTTGTGAGAAGTGCATGAGTTCTCTAATGTTCCCCACTGACCAGTACAGAGAAGATGCATAGGAAAGGGCTTGCGGCTTATTGTCCTTATACACAAAGACTAGAATGTCTAATCATTTGCAGGTGCCACAACCAAGGCAATACATTCTCTTGGATCATTTTCAGACCTTAAGTGTTGGTCAGTCTGGAGCTCCAACACTCACCCTCCTAAAAGTCAGTTCAGTGCACAAAAACCTGAACTAACCAGGCAGCAGGCAAATAAGTACATTATGTTCCCCATGCTTGTCAAAACTGAAATAGTGATGAGCTACAACTCACTTCTCCCATCCTATAGCCTCTAACTCTGCCACTAAATGTGTGTAGAAGTTGGGTTGTGAAACAACTTTGTCCAATTTTTGGCTTCCAAGAAGCTTCTCCTGTAATTCAAAGGCCATAAAAAGTACTATTAATGGCTACAAGCCATCATACAAAGTTACAAGCAGAGAGGTTATCTAATGTTACAACTACATGCAAGACAAGAAAATGATAATCACCAGAATACTTTTGAGTTCCATCAAGAAGGAAGGAAGATCCAAACTTTGAGTTAACCTCTGAAGAAAGAGAAATGTTTAGAAATAACCAGATTAAGACCACTGGGTAGTAAGCAAGGCCATTTACATTGAGTTTCATCAAATTTGTCAAGAATGAGAGTTTTTTTTTAAGGACTAAAGTGGGCTGGAAATCCCAAAGCCTAAAAAATTTTGAATCCTCTAAAATTCAAATGTGTATACTTTTGAAGGTCTAGCACACTTGGTAGAAAAGAAAACACATTGATCAGCTTTGTCAAAAGTAAAATTTTTTCATGTAGCTGATGAGGAGAAGGAGACAATTTCCAAAATTTGGAATCAGTCAACAAAATTTCAAATCCTTTAAAAGCCCTTTCAACCCTTGAATACCTGGGAAGGAACAGTATTACCCCTGACTCAAACATTAAGGATATGAGAATGTGGGAAATAATCACCCACCGAAAAAGCTCTTGATTGTAAAACAAATTCTCCCTGTTAGGCCATAGGGATTATTTAGATAACAGCATGGAGAATATGCAATAAGTCATATTAATATTGGGGAGTAAGAATCACATCAATTTTCCAGGGAAAACACCTCAACTAGGAAAGTTACCTTCAGCTGTGAAGATTATGTCTTGTAGGAAAAGATGTTACTTCTAGTTAGCAGGGGGGGGGGAAGGGGGAGGGGAAGAGGGCAAAGAAAGATTTGGTATTCCCCAACAAAAATTGAATCCAAGGCCTTGGGATTTCCAACACCAATACTCTACCAGTGAGTGACCTACAGAGAACTTGGTTGTGAGCTAAGCAAAGTGTTGGTTCATGAATGGCAAGTGTCATATATGCTGCTAGGATCAGTAGGTCAGAACGATTCTTACTATTGGCCTATAGAAACAATTTAATAATTATACTTAACCTGTTTTATAACACCTTCATAGCCTCTCAGTAAATGTCTTAATTTCCATTCACACTCTATCCTAACAAATTACATGAACAAACACCATCAGCATTGTCACAGACACCCAAAGCTGTATGAGAGCCCTTTAACTTAGTTTACAGAAGCTGTTTGAATTTTGCATTTTACAAGGTTCTTTTACAAATAGTCATGTGAAATTCTAATGTATTGATCAATTCAAGATTCAATACCCCCCTCCCCCATCAAGCAACACCCCCAACACCCCAAGCATTTGAACTTGTTAAGATTGTTTCATTTAAATACCATACCCAAAGGCTGGACTTAATGGTCATATTCTTCGTAAAAGGCAACATCAATGACAGTGACTATCAATTTGTTTACCAGCACTTGAGTGTAGACTGTTTGCTTGTGAAAGTGAAACTTTTTACCTCAAACACCTCCATATTAAAAGATAAAACACGTGTATTCAACTGAAAAGGCTTTACACTTCCAGTTCAAATACCTCACCCCACCCAGGCAAGGTTCAAATTCTCCAACCTCCAGCACACACAATAATCAAACACCAGTGGGTTACCCCAGAGGGGAGGATGTTGAAGCATCAAATTGATTGCATGTAATACATATCTTGTTTATACCCAAATTTTCCTTAAATAATGTAAGTTCAAACAGCTCATTTACAGCCAGGGCCACCAATGCTCCATTAATCCTTTAACCCCTAAGAGCGACTTACATCTAATTTCTCCTACAATATCACCCCTGAGTCACACATTAAGGTCATGAGAATAAAGGAAACGATCACCAACTAAAGAAGCTCTTGATTGTTAAACAAGTTCTCCTTGTCAGCACCTTAGGAAATGTATAAAGAACAGTATGGAGAATAAGCATACTGATGTTTGGGTGTAGCGGGTTAATATCATCCCCCTATTATCTTCTTGCCTGAGGTTTCAATAACTTTTTCCACACGCAGCTTTCAATGGGGGTTTACTAGACTAGACAGTAGTACACGCGCCTGGAAAAGGGGCTGTAAGCTGAAACCCAAACCCGAGCTAAACAGACGGCGGTAAGACATCTTACAAGCAGCGGTTGACCGCCGGTAACCGGATTTTGTTTATTATCCCTGTACTTCCCCAAACGAGATGATTCTTACGTAAACTTTACATTTAGAAACTCGTAGACTTTAGAACTCTGTTCTTACTGGGGAGAGTCTGAGTCTTAACAAATACATTTGGCAACGAACCTACCTAGCGTCTCTTAATGATCTGTTCTCCGGAATTTCGATAGACATTCGGAAACTCTTCTTCTGCAAAATGTTATGATCAGTGAAGTCATACAGTTAATTCCGTGTACCACTCTTTCTGAGGAACCAACGTTTGAACTTACGCAAACAGTAATATAGCCGTCGTAAAACCTCTTGCTGCTGTCTTGAAGTATAAGAAGAGGACACACATCCAAAACATCCAACTTCATCCCTTCCGCCATAACTTCACCCGCCATTTTGTCAACCGCTCAGCAATAAACCGCTGACTCGTTGCGATTATGACAGGAATACAGAAGATCTGTGAATGGGGTTCATATTTCGATGGTTTAATGCTTCCGTTCGTAATTTTGTTAGAGGTGTATGAGAAGTTGATCTGTGATAAGGGTCGTGACTGAGGTTGGAGGAGGGGAGAGGAAGGAATGGGGGTACTCCCTTATGACATATTTTGAGGAAATTTGCCCCCACCCCTCTAAAAGGGGCATGTTTTTTGGTCTGAAAATGAGTAGTACATAGTTCATAGTTAGGGTGTGGTTTTTTTAAGGGATAAATTTTTTTTTCAAATCCAAATGATTAATTAGGGAAGGATTGACAACAAAACAATAATACAGTGGTGGGTTTATTGACAACATTGTCATTTTAAAGGAATCTCTCTGTTATAAAGCCTGAAGCCCAACATAACAGCTATCTGTTGTTAAAGCAAGTTATTATATTACCTTGATATAATATTTAGGGTATTAGGCTTTAGAGAAAATAATCTAAGGTTGTCATGTCATTTCTGATTAGATGGATTCGATCCTGACTTCTCTTGGTTTATGGTTGTTTCTTGACTTATGTGGCAGGATGGCCTGCCTGACTCACTGACTGACTGATTGACTGATAAACAGACTGACGATCCTATGGACACCCTGTTTGACTTACTCATTCATTAACTTACTCACTGAGTGACTAATTAACTGACTCACTGAGTGACTGAACCATTGACTAACTGACTGACTAACCCCCTGGCTGATTTGACAAAAAATTATCTCTTATATTCTCCAGTTATCCTGAAACAATCTGCATAATTTAATGATAGTGTGTAGCAGGGTGTCCATCATGGAACATTTCCTCCATTGGTGACCACCAGTTGCCCCCTTCACCCCCCTCACTGGGTGGCGGCCCTGTCCACTCTAATGATTCTTGACAAGGCTCAGTCACTTTCCACCATTTCTTTGTCATGGGGTCATTACCTATAGCTGCCATGTCCTTTTCTAAGTCATCTCCTGAATAAAATAAAGATTAGTGAGTTGATAAATTCAACAATTAAAGAAATGAAATTAAAGTAAAGGAATGGAAAAGAGAAGAAAGGAAAGAAAAGGATGATTTTCATGAAATATTCAAATCAACACAAACAAAAACAGCTGAGACACAGAATTACAAATTTAGGTGTGGACAGACAGGTACAAGGGATAAAATAATATACATACACAATGAATTGACTGGCTGTTGTCAGACTCACTAACTGACTGACTGACTTACTCACTCACTTATCGACTTACTCTCTTAATCACTGACTCGCTCACTGATTCCCACACTGACTCATTGACTCTGGCTGTCGATGGACTAACTTGCCCACTGACTGACTCATTGGCTCACTCATTGACCCACTGACTGTCTCACTGACTGTCTCATTCACTTACTGACTCCCACAGTGACTACCTCATTGACTCCCACACTGACTCACTGGCTGACTGATTGACTCTGACTGAGTGACTAACTCATTGGCTCACTTATTGACTCATTGACTGGCTCACCCACTCTCTAACTCACACACTGACTCACTTACTCACTAACTCACTGACTGGCTCACCCACTCCCTGACTCACACACTGAATCACTGACCCACACACTGACTCACTGACTCCAGCTGTTGACTGACTCATGAGCTGACTGACTCTCCATTGACTCATATACTGACTCATCAACTGTCTCACTCCCTGACTGACTTACTCAGACACTGACTGACTCACTCACTTACTAACTGACTATCTGACTCATTTACCTCTAACTAACTCACTGACAAACTGGCTGGTTGACTGGATGAATAACTGAATGATTCCCTGACCGACTGAATCAAACTGAAGTATGAATGGAGAGACTGATGGAATACATTTATAGAACATAGGCTCAATATTGACTGTTTGACTGTCCAACAGACAGTTGCACCTACAGTCACAAGGGCAGCTGGCTGAATAAATCAATTGACTTAATGAATCATTTATCTGTTAGAGCTGATAAAACATCCTCAAAACACAACCAAACTGGTAAAACAAATTATCAAAAAGTGGAAAAGTTCAACCCCCCCCCCTCCCCAAATTAACATGCCCCCACTCCACAAATATATGTTTGGTTTCAGGTATCTGACGGCAACAGGAAGTCATATATATGATCGTCAATCATCAAACTTACCAATATACTCCATGTGAGAAAACAGCAAGTGGTGATGTTTGTCATAGTAAATAGTGTAGTTCCTTATATTACTATCATATATCCTTTTCAAGATCTGGAAAATCGAAAAAATTAATTAACGTAAAGAGTTATTTGCTAAGTGCAACATCTATTCTTACTTTGACCTTGTTAAAGTGAAATCAATGTTATTTTAAACATCACCTCAGGCCATACTGCTGCATGAAGTTCTTTGTACTGTTGATACATTTCTGGCTTTAATTTGATAACAGATCCCAACCTCTTCGCAGTTTTATGGTTGGAAGCCATAATATTAGAGTTCTTGAAGATGTCTGACCGGAAGTACTCCGCATTACATGAACTAAAATTTATTTCCAAGGTGACCGCTGACCGATGAAGTAAGTGCCGCGATCGAAGATGGCGGAATTTTTTACTCTAGTGTCCGCTGTTATGATTGTAATAACATTTCTCTTGCTAGGCCGGTTTATAATCAGGCTTGGTATCATGGAAAGAGAGGCCATATTTGATTATGTTAGCCATTCGCCCAGGGAAATTCCTTCTCAGCCTATGGTTGGTGTTAAAAACCCCTTTTTGTTGAAAATGAAAACAGCTGATCAAAACAAATCATTAAGAACAGGTAACTGCACTAAGCTTTTTTACTTACAGATTGATCAACTCGACATAAGAGCTCTTAACCGTTAAGGAATAGAAAAGGAAGAGTTGTTTTGGGAATCGATTCTCTCCAAAATAAGCATTTCAGGAAAAACAGGAAGATTTCTGTAAACTTACGTGGTATTAATCTGGAAACCTTTGGTTTTCTTGGTTGAAAATTATTTATTTGCTTGTGCTGCATATGAAAATTTTAATTGCTGGTAGATCCGTGAAAGATATAGATCGTGATGACGGTGGCTGGTTCCTCGAATCGTAACTTCCATGAGAAGGGAACGTAAGTCGCAACTTACACCTTCTGTTGATTATGGAGAGCGATTATCACCCAGCATACTCTTGTACACGCTGGAATTTGAAATCGTTTTGAATACATTGCTAAATAAGACTAATACTTGAAAACAAAG